ACTTGATAGTTATGGAAAATAAAACTCAAAATCGAAGCGTCTTTGATTTAATTTTAAGAACATTTAGAGATATGTTTGAAGGCTTGGGTCAGTCTTAAGGGTTTAAATGGGCGTTTTGCGTCAAGATCTCATATATGCGCTCTATGTATTTATATAATAAGCTCAGTTATGCACGCATTCTGATTGGTTCTCACTTATGATCTATTGGAGGACAGACGTATAGATGACGTCATCATTAAAACTTTTTTCCGTATATTTTGATTCTTTATAAAATAATTCAAATAGTACGCGCGCTCTAATTGGCCATAAAACCATTTTACATGAGCGTATGTAAACACGGTTTTCGTTCCTCTTTCATTAGTTATTTTATAAAAGAAATGTAAAATGGTTTCCGTGTTTACATACCCTGATGTAAACACTTGGGAGGTTGGGAGAACACTCGATATGCTGGAAACCATTCCGCTTCGCGTCGTGGTTTCCTACGCTTATCTCGTGTTCTCCCAACCTCCGGCGTGTTTACATCTGGCTATGTAAACACGGAAACCATATTATATTTCTTCATTATTGTATAAAACAAGTAGATTCCAAGTTGCCGTGCGGCTGCGCCTCGTGTGCCACTTTTTTGTTCTTACCACATTTTGACGTCATCTGTGATCTATTACTGAACAGACGCACGGCAACTTGGAATCTATTTGTTAAATATATATATCCGGAGTTAAAAAGATGTATGATTTCCATAGTATACCTCTATTTTAAGGCTCTATTTATAATGTCAATCTGCAGTGAGTAAAGCACAAGAGTAAAGAAAACTAACCGAAATTGTCTTTAATCAGCGTGCATCACGGTAAAAGAGTAGAGGAGATGATAGATTCTGCGCCACCCGTTTGTGGGTAATTGGGGTCTTTTTCTAAACTGTAAATGGGAAAATTAAACGTCGCACTGGGTGTGATAGGCTTTCATTGGTGAATCGACACTATAAAAATTTGCATACAAGTTTATTAAGTGAGTCATCAGTGAAAGTTCAATGGAGGTTACTCTGCTTGCACAGATAATCGCATATTTGTTTGCCTCTTCCATACGAAAGAGGCTACTGACTTGTTATATAAGAGTCAGCTCGATTGGTTTAACCGTTAGCCGGAAAAAGGCCCAAGTTAAATTAGCAGTTGGTGAAAATTGACGAATTTTAATTGGTCAGCCGTAAAAAAAGTTACCTGTTAAAAATTTCTGATGACTGCAGTGGAAAGATATTAACCGTTCGCCGTTAATTGGCTAACATTATAACCGTTGGCCGTTAAAGCCTTCACCCCATTGAGACCCTCATTTAAGAGTTTGTAAAGAGATCTCCGTTTGTAGAGAGATCTCCCCTTATATTGGCCCGGTGAAAAACCTATACTTGCGTCATAAAATGTTAAAATGTTTACTGATTGCACTAGACAGTACGATTTTACGGCTGAGAATCCTTGTCGACGAGGAGAGCGAGGCACGCGCAGGCTACACCTGGAAGACCGCTAAGGAAGATAGCCTAAACCAGATTGAAACAGGGGCAGTTTTGCATGTATCTTTGCTCCACTGGCCGTTAACGGGATAAAATTAATTTCATGAGCACTTAACATCACAATCAGTAAAGAAGTTGCGTTATAAAGAATTTGCGAGTATTTATTTTTCGCCTCCATGTACATTAGGTAAGCCTGTTGAGACTAATTTTGTTAATAATTTTTGTATGATTCAATCTTTAATTTTCAATTCTAGTCAATCTTCCTCATCCTTTGCCGACCTCGTCCCATTAAGGGTAAGTTCTTTCCCGTTCAATTATTCTATCTTACAAAACTAATATATATTTTTTTTGAGGTTTCTCGTGCTTTAAAGGTAATTTTTACAAACATCCTAGACTAAGAAATGATGACGCAGCTCTTCAAAAATGCTCAGCTTTTGGGACAGAAAAATATCACCAAACAAATAATTACAATTCAAATGCAAATTTACTTCGAACGTCACTTGCGATTCGGTTCCGAATATCTTGGAATGGTTACTCAGTGAGCATCTGATGGTAATGTAAACACAATCAGCTGTTCAAATATAATGATCTTGCTCTTTGGGTATGCTTTCAGATCCGGATGCCCTTAGATAACTTTGCTTCAATCTATATAGAAGATGGGTTTCTATAGAAACTGTGGTGCTTCGTGCTTTGGAGGAACATGACAAGATAATTTTATTTTTATCAACTTAGTTGGTAATGTAAATTAGCCGACGCTAACGAATACGAGTGACGCTTTAAAACTACTTTCATTGCACGAACCGTAAGCGGCTGATATTTGAAACATCAGCAGTCAGCAACTTAAAAAGTGCACGCGTATACTTCACACTAGTTATTAACCTGCAGTGCAGTGCAGGTTAGTAGCCACCAGTGCAGGCTAATAGCCAGTTAGTAATACGAGTAAGAGATTATAATCTCCTAGGGTGAGTTAACGCTACAAACTCGCGATCATAAATTCTACCGCCAATGTCTGATTCAGAGTTAAAATGGACGGTAGGGGGGAGTGCACGGGAAAAAGCAGATAATTTCTATTGCCCGACCCCCTCCCCTCTCCTACCTTTTCACCGACGCTCGCCTTCTTATTACAAAAGATTTCTTTCTCTCTCCAGTCTTCTGTTGCCGTAAAAGTAAAAGATGACAAGGACACCTGATGACTACAAACTAGTGTCATTTGATGTAAAATGACTGTTTAGTTGTATTCCACTTCAATTGGCACTACGATGTACTGAGACTGCAATCCAATAATCTACCAAGCCACTACCGCTACCGACAGAACACATTATAGATTTACTGAATCTTTGCCTGACGTCAACTTTCTTTCAGTACAGCGGTAAACACCACAAAAAGTTACACGGTACAGCTGTGGGGTTTTCAGCTTCCGTTGTTGTAGCAGAAATTGTGATGCAGAATATCGAGGAACGCGCCCTTTCGACTTGCCGACAAACGAGACCGATTTGGCTACGCTATGTTGATAATACATTATCTATGACAAACAGTTAACCAGAAAAGTTGACGAAAATGGTAAACTTCCTTTTCTCAACTGCCTGGTGACCCGTGACGAAAACTCACTACGGAGATCAGTTTGCAAGAAACTAACTTCTACCAGCAGATTACTAGACGAGTCATCTTACATCCTGACATCACACAAAGCCACCACTATCAGGACTCTAACAAGACAAGCGCAATTACATACATACATACATACTTTATTTGTCACGTAGGTCGATAAATGGCAGCTAAAAAGCTGATGTGGACCTACAAAACTAAAGAGTGTCTACAAAATTTAAATAATAACAATAACAAGTTGCGAAATTATGGTAAGTAAGAAAGGATGTAAGACCTAGTAAGATAATATACAGTTGATTTACAGTAGTAATAAAAAGTAATAAAATAAATAAAAGTAGTAAAATAGCTTTAATATATGTAATTTACAACGTCTTTATTTAGTCCCTGTAAACCATTAAATGTTATTTTATCTAAAATGTCGGATTTTGCTTTGAGAGCAGATTTGAAAGAAACAATGTTCGGTTTGCTCTTCAAGTACACTTAGTACAAGTACAATTAGTTTGTAACACAACAGACAGCTTGTCCGACATGAACAAATACCTTGACCGTGTTTTTTCCAAAAACAACTTTAACGACAACTTCATCTGACCAAACACTCACCAACCTACCGCAACAACCGAAAGAAACTACACCGCAACTCTTACGACTAAACGTAGAACGTAGTTTATAACTTCAATTGCTCCAACCGGTCAAGCCTACTACATCGGAGAGACTGGCAGAAACGAAAAAGTCCAAAGAGTTCGTCTTCGAAGAAATTCCGTGAACAAGCCGTCTGTTTATTTCCGATGCCTCTCGGTCTAATCCTGGAGCTTCAGCTGAGATTTGTAAATAAATTAATGCGAGTGAAGGTGGACAGGCGATGAACGGCACTTACTGGCTCTATTATATCACAGAGAATATACTCGCTCACACTGACATGAAAAACGGACGGTACCATTATGTTAAACTCCAATGGCAAAGCCTAATATACTTAAATACAGTAAAACACTTCCCAATACTTATCTTATTGTAAAATGTAGTTTAAACGTTAAAGTGAGAGATAAAACCAAGAACCACGCTGTAAACCAAAAGCAAGCGAAGAACAAAACCAGAAATAGACACAAGAAAAAGCTAAAAGGTGAAAGAAAAAAATTAAGATCAACATAAATAAAAAAAAACCGGGAACAAAAAAAAAATTATAAGTATAAGCCTGAATGCAAAGCCGTTACGAACGAATCTTGTATTCAACCATTCTCTATGCCAAGAGGAATATTACCATTGTCGCAACCCGATGTACGTCTCGTTTCTCCTATGCAAGCGGCACCGTCATTTTTCGGTCTTGGGAAGAATCTCTTTCTTTCTGTCGAAATGGCAGCAAATTGCCATCCGATGGGATTTGGCAAGAACTCCAAGCAGACCAAGCGCTCTAGTTTTCGGCTTAATGACAACAGATATCAATGTTGCGATGCTGTGACGAGTCGTACATAAATTCATCAAGCGGGTAAACAAAGTCAGGTTGAAAACTTTTGTGCCATACAACCTTTTTCATACCAAGTTTTCTGCGATCGTTGCAATCATTCGATGGACCATGCTTTTAGAAAAAGTTTTCCATCTGCCACAACCTTGTTTCAGTTTTGTTTCGGTTTTGCCTCAGAACAGGCGGAATCCTGCTGTGAGGAGAGTACATTTCGCTACTAATTGACAACTAAAAAAACTTGAAAAAAATTAACCATCCATAAGATTTTTTTTCCTAAGTTTTCTATATTGTGGGTTTGGTAGAGTTTTGTAAACGTGTTTCAGAAAGCTGTATCGTCTATTTTTTTGTTTGTCTACTGGTACGCATCACAAACGCAAGTGATTCTGAACTTCCGGTTTCAGCACAATTCATTTCCGCTTTGTAGCCAAGTTGAACCAGGATACACTGCGTGCTTCTATAAAGCTGGCGGAAAACGTAACATGAAAAGTTATCTGAAATAATAAGCCGAAAGGGAGCAGATTTCAGACGAATCTCGGGCTTGGCAAAACCTCTTGTGGAATGTAAAACAGAGGTGAGATATTACTCGACACATTGTGTTCACTACGCCCTGGTAGTACATGTATTTACTACAAGTAAGTAGTCGTTTTAGCAATGAAAGTCAGGTTCAAGATTGTATAAGACTTAGTTTTGAAATGCTGGTACTTGTAGCAGCTATGGTTTGTAGTAAGGGGCTGTTCCAGTTTATACCCACATTTATTTTTCTAAGAATTGCTCGTATTAATCTTGACCGTGACAAATTACCTATACAGGCAGGAAAGTTATTGGAAACTTAGAATAAAAAAATTATATCGAAGGCACGTGAGGTTTGGTTTGTTTATTTTTAATTAATCTTACATAATGGTAAGGATTTACATGTTTTTCTCGTGGCAAAATAACGATTACACGTAGTTGTTGCTTAAAATGAATTTTTCAAGACAAACTTATCTTCGGGTTTCTTTTATAATTAGGTTTTGTCTTGTTTTGCTTTGTTTTGTTTCGATTTATCTTTCAGCAAAATCCAACTTACGATTACGCTAATTAGGTTTAGAATGGATGCTTTGGTTCACCACTGAAAGGAAATAAACAAAATTTTGGTAAAAGACATATTTCTTCTCAAAGACAGCTTAGTAAATTAATGACTACAGTGTGACAAGGGTTTGATAAAAGGACCACTTAAGATCAGCCACATGTGAGCTGTTAAAGTATTACGGTGGTGTGATCTTTGGGAAGATTTCTTTGCCGCTGCACTTTAGGATTACAGAGAGTTACTTAAGTGTCTTCTTCTGAGTTTCAAATTTGGCAAAGGATACAATTTTGGCCCCTAATATGACTTACTTAACCCTTTAACTCCCAAGATCTCATAAGTAATTCTCCTTACCAACTGCCAAACGATTCTCTTTATGTTAGTCTGGAGAATTTAGTATCACATCAATTAGTAATCCCATAATTGACATTTTTCTTTATTCTCATTACTTGTCTGCATGATATTGTATTAGATATAGTTAGGAGAAACTCTGTCTCGGTCACTCACAGGAGTTAAAGAGTTAAAGAAGATAAGGAAGCTATAAGAAATAAATGAAAATTACTGTTGCTGCTGAAAATCATGTTGACAGTTTTTGTACATTTTCTTTCCTTTGCATTTTCATTAAGTTCTTCTGTTTTCAAGTTTGTTACTTCTTTGATTTTCTGTTACTTTTTTTTGCTCAATTTACCGATGTTTGTATCACTCATATATTTAGTTCTTTACTGTAAATTTTATTCATTCTGATTTATACTTTAACTTTGCTGGATCATTTTTCTGAATCGCTTTAAATTGTTCTCAATTGTCTTTAACCAGGATCTTGTACAACATTTGTTTGTCTTTTCTTCTCCTATATTTTGTTTTCTTGTTTGTTTATTTCTGAAAAAAACTCATTATTTGTAAAAAATTTTATTTTTGCAACCACTTCAATTGTTCACCTTGCTGTGATTCTCCTCTTTTTTTTGTTTTGTGAGGAAGTATATTAACCCTTTAACTCCCAAGATCTCATTAGTTATTGTCCTTCCTGTCTGTTATAATACTTCTCATGATGTTAATTTGGAGAATTTGGTATTGGATCAACTGATAATCACCAAATTAATATTTTCTTCATTCTCATCACTTGTCTGCTTGATATTGTAATGAAATTGTATGGAGAAATTCTGTTTTGGTCACTCATGGGAATTAATAGAAGTGTGTTTTTGTTTTGACCATTACAAGTAATTTTGGCCATCACGAGCACCTCTGAGACTGTGATCCCCTTTAACCACAAAACTTGCATATTTGTTCTCTTTCATTTATCTTTTTTTAAACCAACAATGCTGTTGTTTTCTTCATCTTATCAACATTTGCTGAAAGACATCTTGGTGTTTCCCTCTATAATTTCTCCTTCACCTGCTTACCTGTTTCTTGCTATGTATTGATGATAAGATATTACCCAATTAATCTGTCCTGAAGCAATGTTTCAATTTGGATGCCTGCAATTGTTATTTTTTTGCTCAGTATATAATGGATGAGAACCCAATTGGTAGCCTTTGACAACCCATGCCATTTGTTGGAGAAAAGAATGCTTATGCCTGAGAGGTTTATTTTATAAATTATATTACAGCTTCCCTCTTTCTGCACCGAATGGAGGCTATTATGTTTACTATCCTTCAAATATATTTTGACATGCAGAGAAAAATGTTTATGAACAGCTTACTGTTTATAGTGAGGGAAGTTCACTTTTCAGTGTTCTCTGAAGTGATTTTATGACCAAAGGAACATGTTCCTTCTTCCATAACAACAACACAATGCTTTTCATCTTGATTTAAATCTGAAACACAGAGTTGTCCATATTGAATGTACGGTTTTAAAATTGGGGGATATTCCTGGAGGTATATCCTAGGATTACTATCTCCTAGTTTTAGTTAGAGGACATTCTGTCATGTGATGGGCTAAGATTTTAAAATATGAAAAAATAAGAAAATAAAAATGGAGAAAAACAATGAAAGAAACCAATTTAGGCCACTGCAAACTACAAGAAACCAAAATTGCTGTTTTCTCTCTGATTGGTTGATTAGACAGTGCTAATATTTTAGCCAATCACAGACCAAGGTTATGGAAAAGCTTAGAAATATTAGATTGTTTTTAGGCTCAACCAAGTTGTTATTAACACTGTGTATGAGGAGTAAAAAGATCATGATAATGTTCAAATCTATCCCATATTGTCTCCTCTCAGCCAACTAACTGAAATCATGATCCTTTTACTTCCAAGATCTGATAGTTGACTCACTCAACTGAAAACCGTACACAGTTTGTTTTAAGTATTGCTGAGAATCAAGTTGTTTTAGATATATTACTTATTTTCTTACTGGTTAATAATATTTTTCTCTTGCAGGCCCTTCTTTGTGGAAGCTGTGTATCCCAGAAAGACAACAGTACCAAGCATGCCTGTGATGGGGAGTTTCAAGCACTTAAGTCTGTATAAGACAAGCAGTAAGTTTTCTGGGAGACTGATTAGGCTCTCTTTTCTTTCTGTGGTTAATTAGCTCGGATATCATGTTAGATTTTAAACCATAAACTTCAATTATCACGATAAGATAGTCAAATGGGGGCACGAAAGTGTCCTTTCAGGGAGAGGGGTGATAAGAAAAGAAAGTCTTGGTTTTTTCATGCAACTCATTCTTTGCCATACTTGTCCAGAGTTTGTTTCAGTTCAAACTTTGTTAAACATAAGCAGCTAATGACTGGCTTCAAGGGATACAGTGAGTTTTCTTGTTCCTTGAACTGAAGCCAAAGGGAATAACTAGGGTCAAATAAAAAATGGCTTTTGAGTTGGGAGGTATAACATCATGATTTTAAACAATTGCAAAAGAATTTGTAGTACTTACATACTTAAACATGTACTCTCAAACTAACTCTTATACTCTCAAATTAGTCAGCTTTAATCAGAATTAATCAGGTTCATCCTTTTATCAGTGGGTACTGTCCTACAGTGAGAGAGGGATGGGGTTTAACTTTTCCTTGTCAAATTGTTGGTGTCTTTTTTTATTATTTTCCTCCTGATTTTAATTAACAGTCATCAGCAAAAATTAGGGACTGAAGATAAATAAGAGACTACAGCAAGTCACTCAGACATAGGACTGCTGTGCTTTTTCTACTTAAATTCAAATACTAACTACCTAAAATAATGCAATAATAATCATTATATACTGAAACAAAATGTTTCATTCCTGATTAGTCTATTGTGAATGAATTGAAAAATAACTTATTAAGTTCAATACAGGATTTCCATACTACACACTGGCTTGAAATTAAAGCTTTTAACCCTTTCACTTCCAAGATCTGATTGTTAATTCTCCCCTCTAGCTGCTACACATTTCCTTTTAAATAAGTTACAAGAATTTGGTGTTAAATCAAGAAAACAACCTCTACCTGATAAGTTTAAGTATTCTCCTTACCTCTTTGCTAGATGATGAATGGATTTTATAGGGAGAAGTTACATGTCAATCACTTCTGGGAGTTAAAGGGTTAAAGAGAACTAAACAACAATAAACTTTTTAGTAGTTAAAAGAAAACATTAAAATTTGATGTGTCCATCCTCCTCTGCATTCTAATGAATGATCAAAGCAAATAATATAATTATCTTAAGGCATTTTCCAACTGGTTGAAAATGTTTTGAGAAATGTGCACCAGGAATGTACAAAGAGCAGTATTTGTATGAGGTTTTGTTCAGAACATATCATACATAAAAACATATTAAACAGCTCTTACAGTTCATAATTTATAGTTACTCATTATATGTTTGGAAAGTTTTCCAAAAAGCACTCCAACGGCTGGTTCATTTACCAAAGCTTTGTAAACATCACTGATGCCTTTGAAGTAAGAGATGTACTTGAGATCATGGGATTTCCCTTACAAATACATGTGTGATTAAATTAGATTTGTAGAATTGAGCAATAGAAAAAAAAGAAATGAAATTCATCATATTTGGAAGATGATGCTCATGTAACTGTTATGCTGTTACATACATTTCCCATCTGCTCCCCTGTGCTCACATGTGCCAATTCCTGCAAGAACACTCTGTCAGCCAAGGAAATCGTAGAAGCACAATGATATTCTAGAATCCTTAATCTATACACATGCATTCCCTATTGTCTGTTTTTAACCCTTTACACTCTAACATCAATATATATGCATATTCTCCATACTTTTCTCTGTGTTCTGACAAGGAGAATTTGCTCAACAATCAAGAGCTTTTTTGTTAGTGATCATTTCCTGTATTCTCATGACCTTAATGTTTAATTTAGGGATGATATTGCAAGGTGAAATTAGCTCCTAATCACTATTTGGGGTTTGAGGATTAGAGAAAGTTAATGTTCAAATTATAGAAAACCTGGTGTGCCTGGCCTTTTTGTTTACTCTGCAACAAGATGTTAGTAAAATAAGGATTCTTATCAGTAAGAAATTTATCATGTACTATTTTAATTTTTTATCTCTCTAAAGTTTTCCTCTTGTTTGATGATGTATTTTTGTTGCAGGCAAAGAAGATTAAAGTGTAGAGACTTGAAAAGAGAACAGCTGCACCTGTTGGAGCAAAGTTCAGGAACAGAAGATGTCACAGGAATCCCATTCACTTTTTGTCTGGGATAAAAAATGTTGAAAGGAGACATTTAAACCCTTGGAAACTTAAAAAGAATGTAATGGAAGTCCATGTGCTCATTTTGAATGCAACAATTTTTATAGCTTTTTAATTTGTTTTGTTTTCTCAGGAACTTGGAAAAGCTAACATCATGGTAGAATTGATGAATTAAAAGCAAATTATGGCTAATGTGAAATATGTGATCATACTGAGTATAAAGCTTATTATAAAATGGTGACCATTTTATAATTCCATTTTTAGTCACCCCAGATATGGTAACGTCATTTCCTGTGTACATTTCCAGCTTTTAAAAAGTGAGATTTTATTTTAAAACTGAAATTGAAGTCAATGTGCTGGGTAGTTAAATCCATGAACATGTTTTACCACAGAATTATCAGGCATTGAAAAGATTACAGGGTATATGATCATGAAAAAGTCAAGTTTCATCGTTTGGTGGCTTGTTATTGAACTTTTAATTGAACTGTTTAAGGCCTGTTTACCTTTAAACAAAATAAAACAAAAAAAAACAATTATAAGCTCCTCCTCCCCACTTTCCGGGTATAAGCCCACCTCTCGCATTTCTTGCTTAGGGAGCGGGGCTGATGTTAGCCTTAATCTTTGTCACGCTCTCTGCTAATGGAAATGCGCGAAAGAGCTGCCGTGGGATCAGGAAATAGTGACCACCGACTTTAACTCGCCCGGTCCTTCGCTTGTCTCTAATCCACTGACGGAGAGTCTCAAACAGGTTTCTTATTTTGGGAAAATTTGTCCGTTTAACTTATCTTCGGACAATCATGAAAATGACAACGATCTCACCTAGTTAAACACAAGGAATCAAATTTACCTACTGAACAGTAATAAGGATCAGAGGAATGCAACTGTAAAGTAAGGCAAAGACCCCAACACGTAATCGCGTGACAGTAAGGAAATTTGATTTCCGTTGTCAAGGTCGTGTTATTTTAATTAAGCGAATGTCACGATTACATATTCGAAGGTCATTCGTCTTTCGCTTCTCGACTTGTTGAATTCCTCGTTTGTAAAAGTGCTCTACAGTTATCTACAAATCATTTAGTTTTACGCTTCAGTCGAAAGAAAAGAACTTTAGCTATGGGTGAATTTTCCCAAGAAATTCGATTGGTTGAATCCTTACCTCTGTATTCTAGGTAAGACTAATTGCAGCGGTTTAGGAGATATTTTGATGACAGTCGTTGTTTACATTACCCTTATTTGCTGAGATGCCCCGAACAACCTGCTGCAGTATATCTATCATCGTAATGTAATTCTAATAAATACCAAAAGCGAAGCAATATCTGATTCAATTTTAATCGGGTCGGTAGATAGCGTAAGGGTTCAGGATGTTGGATAAACATTCGAACGCGAGGTCGGTACCTTTTTCATAAATTTCGATGAGAAACATCAGAGCGCTTAAACTATTGTCAAAACCTTTGGAAAGAGACGTATTCGTGAAAAATTCGGCTCGGGAGCTCGGTATGCTTGCATGTAAAACATTTTCAGAACAAACTAAGCGTGTCGTGAACTCAAGGAAGCAAGGTGTGTTATGTTGATCAAACGGTTGTAATATTTCCGTTGTTCGCTTGTCTTCATAAATCTACCGCTTTTATCTCTCTCTTATCGGCTGTTAATCATGTCTAACGCGGGTAAGTGTGTTTCACACAGTGGAGACGTTTGTAATTTGATTTGACCGTTTCAGATAGAGTGCAGCACTTGAAGTCAATCTTACTTGTTGAATGGAGAGCGAGATCCGTAGTTAGTTCTGATGACTGGAAGGTACGTTGCGAGGTTTTTTCAATCGCCGAGACCAACTCTTTTGAGAGAGCAACTCAAATAAGCTCAGATACGGGGCAAACCAAAACCCTGAAGACTCTATGTTACTTGGAATACAAAACAGAGATATGCATGTTGTTGATTGCAAATAGGACCCGAACTTAGTGTTCATTTCGTATTGCTGACTTCCAGAGACATTACGCAACGTTATGTAACAAGCAGTAAAAATATATTCAGTTGTGCATGTTACGTAGGAGAGGTTAAGCTAAGTAAGTTAGCGGTTGTGTATCTAGCGAAAAAGTTTTTTCACGTTCTTTTTTATAACGGTGTTCTTTGCCTTTAAAACACAACAAAAGAGCGGTAGGGATTTGTGTGCGCCACATCGAGAAAAATCGAACTTTCGGTTAAACCGATAATTTTCCTTTTACAGATAGATTTTGGAGGAATTCGCTGAGGAAGCGAGAAAGTTCCTATTCATGGACGGGAAAGCTGTGACTATGATATAGTTGTGGGTTAAGCGCTACACGAGGACAAGTTGTTAAACACCTTTCACTCCAAAAAATCTGATTGTTAATTCTCCCCTCTAGCTGCTACACATGTCCTCATTAATTAATTATGAGAATTTCGTGCTAGATCAAGGTAGCAGCTTCTACCTGATAAGTTTGAATATTCTCATCACCTGTTTGCTGAATAATGTATGAATATTAAAGGGAGAAGTTAAATGTTAATCACTTCAGGGAGTTCAAGGGTTAAACACCGTTTCTTTCCTTTTGACAAAAAATGGAATGAAGTACTTCCAAAATTAAAACATCCACCTGTAGCAGTTAATAAGCGGGTAGATTCGAATATCGTATCCAATTAAGAGATTTTTCGAAGACAACTCCTCAAACAATAAAATATGATGACGTCTCTTGCCTGGCGATGATACTTCTGAAGACATGGTTGCAGTGATACTCGCAATAAAGCAGAAAATTAATATCAGAAGATTATTGAGGAGCTTGCATGCACTCTTTTGGCATCCTGATAAGTTCCTTACTCGTTTTGACGAGAGATATGCGAAGAGCCTCGCCCGCAAATAACTGACGGATTCTCATAATATCTAAACAGCTGAGTCAGTCCTATCAGGGGAACGATATGAATTGCTGTTGCGTTGTAAACAGTTCATCAGAATCCCCACATTCGTACAGTATTAAACAAAATGAAATCGTTGGCGGAGTTCTTTTAGGTTTGCAAGTAGTTTCTTTATCGGCTATCACATTCTTCACCTATTCCAACATTTGTCAACTTTGGAGAAAAAGTTATCTTTTTCTAATATTTGTATTATCTCTCCCTTGAAAGCTTATTTCGATTACATTTCAAAGCCATTTGTTACAAGAAATAAAATTTTAATTACAGGGCCTTATTATTGTTCTTATTCTGTTGAAAAAATTGTTGGAAACTCTAATTAAATCTAAGATTTTAAAGTTCACATTGGAAAAATCGACGGAAGAAAGCTCTAGTTCTCCAATTTGTATCAATAGTCTCTATGCCTATGAAGTCATTCTATTAGGCCGGGCTCTTCACAAGGGCCGATCAAAGTGACCGTGGGAGCCTGCCACTTTAACCTGTAAACAAAATAATCAGAACACCGTGATTTAATGGCAAGGGAGAACAAGAGACCGCTTGAACTGCGTTTGATTGTTGAGATGGGAGCCAGCGATGAAGCATGAAATATGAAAACCACAAACTTCCTGATGTGTGTTAAATGAGCTAAGTAAAAAATCGAACAACAAAAAGGGTGACTGTTGTCAACTCGGTATTAAAAAGAAGATTCAGGATCCTAACTAACAAATATCACTATAAAACAGAAATTACATTTAATTGGAGTAATGTAATGAGCTGTACCTTGCACGGGTTGAAGGCTGACATAGTGCACCTCATGAATATGTCCCAGCACAAGAGGTTTGCTTTCGTCAACTGAAAAATGTGGCGTAATGATTACATCATGGCTATGGGATAGACTGCTGACCACACGAATGCACGTTTCAAAGCAGTTTGCTGCAGCACACAGAATCACGTGATCACCCCAAGCGCCATCTTGTTCCATGTGTACTAGGTATTCAGTCCATGTTTGATGTCCATGGACAAAGTCAAACAGATCTGTTCCATCCGGCTGTAAGAAAGATCAGTTAAAGAAGGAAACTTAAAAGGATTGTTGATAGGAACTTGAGCGCGTGGAGTACGAGTCAGGGAGTAATTTTATCAGAATGGTACGAGACGAACTTAAATTGGCAATGTACTGTATGGTAACAAGTTTTCTGCTTTGCAAACAGCAGGAAAACAACAAGAAAGATCCATCATTAAGAGAATGACTATAATTCTGTCCTCTGATGGAGGTTTAAAAGAAATTCTTCTGAAACTGAAATATTCAAATGACTAAAACCGTGGTGGCCTGCTTCTCCGGACACCACATTAAGTAACATATGAATTTAATTGTCACCAACGTCACTGTGTGGCTTCTTAAATAATAAAGTTAAATATCTCAAGTTCCCCTTTCCACCAGGGTTACAAGCTGGTTTCAGAGCTCCTGAAAAAAAGACCATCATTCCATACAGAAGGAGTAACAATACTCCTGGTCACTTCACGCTGTGAACATAGGGATAGGTTCTAGTGGTGTTGACCAAGTCATACTCAAACAATAACATCACGTGACATACTCTGTTAAACATACTAACATCAACTTACAAGTTTTGGGTTACTCCTGAGGTACTGAACCAAGGTTTGTCTTAATTTGCCATGTGGGATTTTGATTCCCTTAACAATTTCCAGTTGTTCGGACAAGGCATAGAACATGCAATTTCCTGATCCTTGATTATCAGATATTCTGAAGCCCCTGTCTGATGCAATATTCTGAAGCCCCAATGATAGATCTGTTCTGCTCTTGAATTTGCTTGCATCCAGTTGCATCTGCTGAAGTTCCTGGATGATTCGGTCAAGAGAACCTAGAAAACACAAGGTTTTTATTAATCTAACTGCAGTAAAAAAGCGAAAGAATCGTCTGCTGGAAATTAACAATTCTCAATCTAGTGAGAGAAACTTTTAGGGTAAAAAGGAGAAGAGCTTCAACCACCAGACTTCCGCTGTTTTGTCCAACAACTCAGCCTTAAGAAGGAAGCTGTAGCTGTCAATTGCGTTACTGTTTAAGTTCGATTTCTGCCCGTGAATGAATACACAAATAATCAAGAGAGAAGAAGCAGAGAAGAAAAATTAACGACGAGGTCTACACTCTGACATATCTGTGTAACTGGAAAAATAAATCCTGGAAAAAAAGAACGGGCTTGAAAAATACACTGATGTATTCCCTCTACCGTATGAATATGTGATTACTTCAACATTATTTCGAAAGACAACGTATCGAGAATAGAACATAAACTGATTTTGATAAGAACAGTAAGAGCTCCCCATGTCTCCTTGTTTCTGGCCTGGTTTCAGACAATTTATGGTAGTTTCCAATTGGATGAAAACTTCAAATGACTCAAAGAAATAAATAACACTAAGCCGTCCGTCCGGATCAGGAGGTAAAAGAAAATCAAATTTGTTTGTACACGTCTTACGTTTGTGACTGAAGAGTGCAGGGGTATAAGTAAAAACATGTCTCAGAAGTAAAGAGCACCTTGCTAAGTTTTTACGAAGCATAGCTGGCCTGAAGTCAAAAGTTAGGAAAAGAAAATTGCTCGATCTCCTTGTAACTTGTCTGTACTTCTTTGGGGATATCAATTATCATGAGTTATTAAATTCTTTACTCACTTGGAGTCAGTAATGAATCAACTGTTGGTTGTTTAGTTGACGTGTCAATAACTTCGGCCTGCCGAGCTCTGAAACTTGTGTCTCGTCTTTTAGAAGCTAAAAAGATAGAAAGAAGCTTTTATTTTAATAACACAGTAAACAACATGAGGATAAAACGATTGATTACTATTCATGTTCAACATCTCTTTTTATATGAGGGGTTCATGCTTTCCGTCACAGTTAATAAGAGACCGAAAGCCGAGTAGCCCCCTAAAATACTTTTTGAAGGAAATTCAAAACATTCTCACCATGAACTATGTCCCACATCTTCTCCACAAGACTGTCACACTGTTTCTCCCAGCTAAACTTCTCTTCATATGAACTCCTCAGTTGTTGAATATCTTGAAGTCGATCTGATCTTTCCTTCTGTCGGACACCAGCAATTGCCTTTGCCCACTCCTCAGGGTCCTCAGACTCCACCACGAATGATTTGCCTGATGGTACAGTGCACAGTGCTTCACCAAATCCTGAGTTGCCACTGACAAGAATGGGAAGACCAGCAGACAACGCTTCTAAGGCCGTCAAACCAAACCCCTCTGTTCTGGAGGGCATGATGCAGATGTCAACTTCACAAAATAATTTTTTCAATCCCTCTTTTTTTTGCACGAACTTCCTCACGATCAGCTGCTTTTTATCAATTCCACTCTTGAGTAGATTCTTTGCAACCTCATCCTGTTTACCGTCAGGTGCACCCACGAAAATCAGATGGTACGACCTGTCTTTCAGTTCAACTATTGCTCTAGCAGAGATATCGTAGCCCTTCAAGCTGAAGTCCTCTGGGTCACCACGGCCAAACGTTAGAACCTTAAAGATGTCCACGTCAACTGCAGCTTGTTTTACGTCGGAAAACTCTTTGAACGTGCTTGGCGTCAGTTGAATTATATCTTGGTGCTTCTCGCATGAGCGCAGGTGGGAAGAGTAAGCCTTCGTCAACTTTGGTCCAACTGCTACCACAGCATCTGCCAACTGACACAACTCCACTTCAGTTGTACTCTTATCATCACCTTTGGAAATGGCCATGGGATAGTTTTTGTACATTCCTAGTTCTTCGGGTGCAGTGTGCACCACCTGAATCCACTTGCAACTGTGAGACTTTCTGATAACTTGGGCTTGCTTACCAAGCTTTGCACCATGACCCAGCACAAAGTCAATGACAAGGTCTCTTGGTGGGAAACTCAACCATTCAAGAGGATCACTGAAGCCTGCAAGTTTCTTGGCTTCCTGGATGGAAACATTGTGACTTGATGCCATCCTCTTCTCTTCTTCAGAACAGGCAGACTGTGGGACAAGGAGAGTGACGTCCACTTCAGAGTGTTTGGCCAACAGAATGGCAAGCTGTCTGTTGATGGTGGACAAGCCTCCCATTGACGAACTCCACTCACTGCCCAGGAGAGTCACCTTCAATGCTGTGGCAGACTTCATTGGATTGATTTCACTTGCTTCATCATGTGATCTAGCAGCTACATTTGAAGAGGACAAACCCTGAAGAAAGAAAGGTCATATAGGATTATGACAATTACATTTTTAAAAAAAACTTGGTGTGGTCATATAAAATTTTTATTGATCAACACTTTACCAAGGAAAAACAAAAGAGTATAAAATTCAAAAATAATTTCATCTTGTTAGAAATTCTCTGACTTATATTTAAAACTGAAGACAACCTATTAGGGCTCCCTTTCTCAACACTGATAACAGTCCAATTGAAATTCACATTAAGTAAATTAGGGGAGCAAAGCAAAGATGAAACTGAGGCCAGAAATCTTTTTGTGAAAAATCACTATAATCAATTATACCTGGCTTCTTCTTTTCAAGAACCATTTCTTTAATCCACAAACTGGTGCTACCTTATTGCAAGGTTTTCGCTTACAGATGTCTGGTCGACCTTCATTTGCATCAATGAGGTGGAAGCAGTCCTTGTGTGTACAAGTGGTTTTCACTTGGTCTGAGCATGCACGACGTGTTTCTTCTGCCCCTTGATGACAGTAAGGACATGCAACACACAGCCTATACTTCATTCCTCTCAGGTATGGCATTTCTTGTGACAAATTCTTTAGGGTGTCTTCAAGAAATTCACGAACAAGAGTCGCTAGTTCGACGGAGTTCTGTCCTTCAACCTGATCACTTTGTGCTTTTCTTTGTCTCAAGGTTACCTTCACAAATCCTGTTTTGCATATGAGGACAAAATCATGAATATCTTTCCCAATAATGAACCATGCTCCATTTTGGTACAGGGTGGGTTGATGCGTGGCCCATGTCTCTGAACACCAACGAATGCATCGGGAGACAAGCTGCAAGAAAAGACCATGAGGGACAAAGCCATGGACAAAGAGGAGATACAATGGACAAGGGTCAGTTAATGATAATTCCATGTTACAGAGTTCTACAGGCGATGACTTCAACTGAGCTGGTACAAAGTACTTCTCGTCAGTTGGGGAAGCTGAGAACTTAGCGATCAAACCAAATCGCTCCATCATGTCAAGGATGTCTGCCTTAACGATTCCTCCCGTAATAAAGCTGGAGAACACATGATCAACATGTTCCATGCTAAGGATGCCACTTGCTTCAAGTTCCTGCCAGTACTTAGCAAATAAAGGAGTCTACAAAATATATAAATGACAGCAATTCCAGATTAGAGAAGTCCACTACATGTTCCTTTTGAATTTTTTCTACGTACATGTACAGGAACTAGAAAAAATTTATTTCAATCAATGTACCGAAATGGTCAGAAATTACACTCATAATGTGCAATTTTGTATCTTGGGCTGCTCAGAGGTGATTATCAGTTGTTATTCACCACCACAGAAGCCAATTAGCACATGCAAAAAGAACTATTTGCTTGTGTGAATACAGTAATTGTGAGCGGTAGCGAGTCAATGCAAGTCTGTTGTAAAGTAAAAAGGCTCAATCAATTTATGATCTAAAAAGCTGCAAAAGGTACATGAAATAACTTGGGGTCAACAGATGTAAAGATCAAAGAGTCACAGCTGTTGCATTAGTTGCCTATTTATTAAAAAAGGAAGTGTCACTCTCATTTTCTGTTGGTCTAAATTAATGAACATTTTCCATGTAAGGCCTTTCTAAAATGAAATTTTTTTCCTACCTGTTTATTGAAAGGTGGAATGGTTATCAGCTGTTTGAACAGATCAATCAACCACTGAGCCTTCAGTACAACTGTACTGCGGTGCTTGATTATCATCCCAAGACCATGGTAAAAACTGATCATGGACTCAAACTCTTTTGCATCTTTCATGAAACAATGTTTCCTTGCATAGTGCTTAAGTTGTTGCAGGTTTCTGTGATAAATCTGTTTAGCCACCAAAGCTTCAATCACCTTTTCAAACAAAAACCATCTAGAAGGAAACAGAATACTTGAAATATATATTAAGGGTTTAAAATTGGATATTGACTTCAGTCAGACATGTACTTATTTGTAGTCTTCCAGTGTTAATTAATCTATTTCCTTGGTCTAGCTTTCCCCAAACTTTTGAACAATTCAAATATGGTTATATTTTTCCCATAAACAATCTCAATTCAAAGCTGTGCCTTTTCAAATATCCATCTCACATTCACACCTCTTCAAAAGACAGTATTGTCACAATGTCATGAATGAGAGTTTTGTCTGTTTGCACTTAAATGACTGTTGTGTATTTGTACAGTCTGATGTTTTAAGAATTTGGATGGACTTCAAACTAGTGGAGGTAAGATGATTTTGTTTTCATGTAAATTTACATGCATATACAGTTATACTCAAAACACTGACTGCTCTTCAAAGTACTATTCATGACTGTTTGAGTCAAAAATTGATTCCGTACTCCATGAAGTGAGGTTTGCCAGATAAAATGTTATTTTCATTTACCTGACTGGTATTTTCTCCCCCATATAAGGCTCCTGCCTCAACACCTCCAGAATTTTGTTCTGCAATTCTTTTATTCCATCTGCTTTTCCTTCTTCCTTGCCTGGATATGTTTAGAAAATGAATTTAAAGCACAATGTAACACAGAAACATGTGCTTACAATGAGAATAGTTTGTATCATTCATGTGTGATTGCAGATATTTTACAGCTGACAACAAAGCTATGATGATAAACTCTTCAACTCTTCAAATCATCTTCTGTTCCTTAATTCAAACTTTGAAATTAATGGATCTGTCTGCAAAATTTATAGGCCCCAGTATGGTAATGCTGGTACATAAAGTAGCTGAAAGCTAAGAAGAGTGCTGCCAATAAGAAAAATTAACAACTCTAAGTAGCTTCCACTATTAAACTCATTCAACCAGGGCAGTATCGTTCCCTCACCACTCCCACGAAAACATTCCACGTGTCTGGCAACCTTTTAAAATTATAGTGACACAAAGCAGAACTACTTGATGACATGTAAATGTGAGTCAGATAATAATTATTGTATGCTCAATGCTTCCCAGCCATCTACCAAATGGGCCTTTGATTAAAGAAGAAAAAATGGCTACAAATTAAGTGTTCTTGAAATTGGTGCAAAGACAAGCTAGTAAGCAATTATAAAACCATCAATTACTGCAAGTAACACATTGTGAAGGATACAATAAGATATAGAATATTTTACCTGTTTTATGTTTTCCTATCTGCTTTTGAAACTTCTGGATAAATTCCTTAATCAAGTTTGGTCTCTCAGTGTTATCAATGCAGAATAAGGGTCTGACCACATGCTTCTCATATTCCATACCAGAAATTCTCTCCTGTATTTGTTTCTTTATTACTTCTATGTCTTCAACTGGTTTGTCAGCATGTGTTCCAACAATAAACACTGGGGGGCGGAGGTAGGGCAGCTTATGTTGTGCATCATCATCTGGGTCATCAGTTGCCAGGGCAACACCGTGTACTGTTGCCAGCCATGACAGCAAATTCTCCATGTTTGTTGCATTGTTAGGGTTGTCCAATTTCACATCGTTACTCCCTTGTCTCATGCAGGGCTCAGCTGTGGCATCCAAAGGCTTGCTGAGATTGTGCACCAATATGTATAGTGCTCGTCGTGATAAGAAAATAGGATGGCTGGCATAGTACAGGTGTTGCCCTGCAAAGTCCCACATATCCATTGAAACATAGGATTCTTCTTTAAATACGCCACTTTTGATGCGTTTGCCTTTGATATACTTCAACCACTGATGAACATGCTTCACAGTATCAGGGGGTTGAGTAACATCAATAATTACCTGGGGCTCATCTAAGATGCAGTCCTCTGAGTGTTCAATGCCACTGTTATGGAAACCATCCACTGACTGGTAACCTCCTGTATCCTCAACCTGAGTAGAGAATCAAATAGGGTGAAATTAATTACTTTGAGTACCACAGTAATTCAGTTTAGCCAGCAAACTAATTACACATCTGAAATAATTATGTCAAAGTTTGATGTAAATTAGATCAAATGACAGTACATGAAGTGGGAGGGAAATTATTGTTAGACCACTAGCAGTTCCCTGTTTTTTGGCTAAGACCATTAGAAAGTAAAAAATAAATTAAAAAAAGATTTAACAATTTTAATTTTTTCCTCACTTTGAGGTTCACATAATTTTCAGTTGACATTAAGCATTCAAAACTATACTGTCATTAAAAGCTGCCTTAAGCATGTTTGTGAAGAAGATTTTTGGAATTCTTACATCACCTTTTTTCTGCCATATTTGTAACCATCAAAAGATCCCTCTTCAAAATCTACAGGTGAAATGTAGGCTGAATCTTTTTCAAAATCTTTATCTGAACTTTCATCTTTGTCTTCTTCATCAAGATCTTCTAACTGCATATACATTTTTCTAACTGAATGATCTGGTCTAAAAGTTTTCTCTACCATAATCTTTGCCACATCTTCAGAACATTCCAACAGTCCTGGCTTATTCTCACCAATGGACTGCCAGTTGCTTGCAGCTTGGTCAACATCAATTTTACACTTTGAAGGATCCACTTCAATCCCCTCAGTGCTCTGTTCTTCAGAGTCAAATGGAAGGCCTAGGAGACTCTTCTTTAAACTGGTTTTACCAGCTCGGTCCTGACCAATGAGTAATATTCTACCGCGGTTAACCGTGACATATCCATCTTTCAAAGCCCTTTCATAAGCCAGCTGTGCTTCAAGTCTATCTGGTATTTGGCCTAATTAGAAAAAGTTTTTGCAACACAAAGAAAATAGTAATTTGTACATTGATAAATTTGTACAAAATAAGTAAAAAAAACAAGTAGTATAAATACCTAACATTACAATGTTGGAGTCAAAAGCCAGTATATAAAAACTGAACCATCAAAATTGTTTTTTTTTTCTGATGTTAATATATTAGTGAGTTTGGAAAACACATTTATTCCACTCTTACATAAAAGTTACACAGTCAATCAAAATAATTCTTCAGGCATAAAATGTAGTGATGAATTTGGTGAACATGCACACCAAAACTAAACTGAACCACTTGTGACTGATCATACAAGAGAGAGACAATGACTTAAATCAATTCTGCTAAGTAGTGAGGAGTCAATAACCAATTCATTGTTTGTAAAAGAGAAAGAAAACACGCATATATCCAAAAGGTAACAACTGTAAGTTAAAGAATAAAATGCACAAAAATCACTAGTGTAAATTATATGGAAACAACAATCAGAATTTCATCAACGCTAAAAACAAATTCAAGTTCTATTCCTGTAACTTAATTCACAAATCGTATTAGTTTATAAATTTTGTTTGATAAGCCACAAGTTATTCAACTTTTAAAACACTTTCAATGAATCAAACAGAAAGCAAAAATAAAACAACAATTCCTAACAGTGAAATGACTTGGGATACATTTTATCCTTCCTTTATTCCAGTCAAATAGAAAGCAAAACTCAAAACAATAATTCCTAACTGCATAGAATGATTTGTAATAACATTTTCTCTCTTGATTCCACATCAAATCATATTTCCTTATTGATGAACTTAAATTTCATGAATGAATAAATGTCAGCCAAATTGTTAAAATAAAGCTTTTCAATATAGAACAAAAACTTCCATTACAAATGTCATGTATTTCTCAAGTGATGCCAACTTTGTTAAACCACACAAAAACTGTGACAGTATTTACAGTTTAACTATCGCCAGCTACCTGTAATAATCAGTAACAAGCAGAATAACCACTTGCAAGTCAATTATTAGAACCAATTTAGTAAATGCACATGTCACAACAATAATGTGAACAGAAATTTCCTTTACTCACCTTGGAGATCTGAATATACTCGGTCAATTATTCCTCTATCTTCTAGCTCCGCAACACTTCTCATTCCTTCAACTGTAAAAGGATTCCCATTTACAAACAACGATTTGAGTTTCTTCAGCTGTTTTATGGCTGGATTTAACACAGTCAACTGGTTGTAACTCAGATCCAGTTCCCACAGTGCCACCATCTCACCAATAGCATCAGAGATGGTGGTTAGTTTGTTATGTGAGATGTACAGCCATTTGAGTTTCTTCAGCTGTGTTATAGCTGGACTCAACACAGTCAACTGGTTGTAACTCAGATCCAGTCCCTCCAGTGCCACCATCTCACCAATAGCATCAGAGATGGTGGTTAGTTTGTTATGTGAGATGTACAGCCATTTGAGTTTCTTCAGCTGTTTTATAGCTGGACTCAACACAGTCAACTGGTTGTAACTCAGATCCAGTCCCTCCAGTGCCACCATCTCACCAATAGCATCAGAGATGGTGGTTAGTTTGTTATGTGAGATGTCCAGCCATTTGAGTTTCTTCAGCTGTTTTATAGCTGGACTCAACACAGTCAACTGGTTGTAACTCAGATCCAGTCCCCACAGTTCCACCATCTCACCAATAGCATCAGAGATGGTGGTTAGTTTGTTACGTGAGATGTTCAGCACTTCGAGTTTCTTCAGCTGTGTCAAACTTGCTGGGAATATGGACAGCTGGTTTCCGCTTACATCAAGTACCGTAATATTATTTAGTTTTCCAACATTTTCAGGTATTGTTTTAAGTTTATTCCCTGACAGGTCAAGTTTGTCCAACTCAGTTAATTCCTGCACCGCTTCAGGCAATTCAAGCAAATCCCACTCTGACAGATTTAATGTTTTTCTTCCGAAACGATCTGTTACAATCTTACTTCTCAGCTTTTCTTTAGAAATATGGGAATCCATGTCTTAGTAATGTAACTGTCAGAACGAAAAAAACAAGCTGTCATTAAAGGTGAGTAACTTGAACTAACTTTCTTGTGGCATTTATAATAACAATCGAACCAAAAATAAAGGACCGGATGCTTATGCGTAAAGGGTCTTGAGTTAT